AGTAGCAGAACCAGGATGTGAACCCTGGTCTATTTGACCCCGAATTCCATGTGTGAAATTAATATGATATATGGCATCCCCTCAAAGGAACTATTCTTCACTTCCTGCACACTCCTGTGGTTTATATTTTACCTTGTATTATAAATATTTCTCTGCTGTCCTATTCTAGAGATACTATCTTTCAACATCTTGAAAACAGTAGTACCTGATGCATCTTCATGAATTCTAGTAATCTGTGCTTAAAACACATTTATGAATTAAACTAGGTGGAATTGAAAGTGCCTTAGAAATGGGCAAGAGAATGCAGCTTGATATAAAGCTAAGGTTAGAGGCAAGTTACATGGTGACTATCATTTAGCCATTGGTACCTCTTTGTTACAATCCAGATGAGGATAAGTACAGGAGAATGTCAGAATGAGAACCGTGACCCCAAAACTTCCAGATAAGAGTGGGGGGAGGAATCTCACAGCTAGAAATTACCCTTTTCTCGTGATGAAGGATCTTCGGGACTCTACCTGGGTATAAAATATGGGGGCTAGTAGGGTAGGTTGGATTAAGGAACTCAACAAAAATCACTTGTAAATCACAAAAATTCTTTGAATTTCTCCGGGCAGTCAGGGAACTGCATCTAAGGAGAATTCTAAAGTCTGGTCCTAAGTCTCTTAGGGGGAAAATCAAAGGCAGGAAAGATGGTACCTCATAAGGAGAACTCTCCCCTAAGACCCAGATGGCTTAGACTAGGTTGTTTCATTATTAACTGCCTGGAATATGGAATAACAATAGTGCAGATATCCATTGATGTTGCAGAGAATAGGGAAGAGGCAGCAAGAGACAGAAGGATAGTTTTTATGCCGTTATTAAAGAGACAACAGACTCAAAATCACTTGTGCTACACCCACATAAGGAACCAAGACTTACTACATACTTTAGGTACAGTTTCAACCTCTCTCAGGAGTGGAATCTTAGTCAATCTGGAATTATGTGGTTAGCTCTAGTGAGGTAATAGACATTACTGCATGATAGACCTCTGCTGTCCCCTAAAGGGAAGTTACCTTGCCACAAACAAGCCACTCTCTGCTAGTATCTTCCTTGTCCCACCTTCTTCTAGCTACCGTGTCTCATTTTGTACAGCTCTTTGGAGCTCCTTTCTATTTGTTAGATGATATGCAATTCATGCTTCATTAAATAAAGCCAGTAAGATCTTTAAAATCTACTTTAAAATTTGAATTTGGTTTTTAACACTGATATGGAACACCTTGTTGACACGAAAGTCCTTTTACAGGTCAGACTGTAGCAATATATCTTAAAATTGTTATCTTTCTGGGTTTTTTTTTTTTTTGAAAAACACTTCCTTGAAAGTAATTTGTACCCTGGTGAGTCAAAGGTCTCTGCATTACCTTGAGATGAAGTGAAATTGTTGTAGTCACAATGAAAATAGCAAGAAGAAACTTTTCAGACTTTCTAGTTGATTTTTGAGAATCAAAATGGAATGTTTGAAGGAAGCAGAACATTGAATGTGTGCCGTGACAATAGAATTAAGAGTACACAGGGAGGAAATGACTCCATCCTCTCTCCTTTTCAAGGGGAGAGAACACAATGAGGTGTGACCCTTTTGGGGAGACAATTTTTCCATAGTTCCCTCACTTTTCTGCAAAAGATTGTGACAACCTTCCATCTGGGCTATATTTCCAAAGATGTCTGTAGAACAAACAACCTTGAAAGACAGACATATTGTCTTTCTCTGGGGCAGAGGACAGATTTGTTTTCTGACCAGTACAATCGATATTAATGCTTCCCTCTGGGGCGAAGATTGGGCATGTTTGTTAGGAGCCCCGTGTAAAAGTGGGGATATCCTGTTTGGGGTTCTTCATCACAAACCCTTTTGTGCACAGCATATACTTGGATTCACCTCCATGTGGCTCCCGTGATACTTGGGGGATAAGGAGAATCAGTGTGGATGTAAAACTCATGATGCCTGCAGCACCGTGAGTAATAAAGTCTGCTGCCTCCGACCCAGGAGTCTCACATGTCAGAATCTATGAAACTGGAGGGTACTGTGTGGCTTACAAATTACACTTGTAAGTGTGACTTAGAAGCCACACTCTTAACAGTTCTTGACTACGCTAGTTCTGGGGTAGGGACAACAGGGTCATGGTCTGGGAATGTGATACTCATCAAAGAGGAGCAGAGTCAGTGTTGAAAGGCTGTCAGAAAACTATGTAGAGAATTACCATGGGCCCCCGGAGAATCTCGATCACTTGTAAAACATTGATTTTTGTTGGAAGAAACACCACACTTCTGTTGTTTTCCTCACTATGGTTCTCAGGCCAAAAAAAAAAAAAAAAATCTAAAAAAAAGCCCACTTCCCAAGTGGGCTTTTAGAAATGCGTGTCGGGAAGTTTTCGTTGTCAAAATAATAGGGTAGGGGTGGGGAAATGACTGACATACAATGTCTGAGCACCAGATGTGCTAAATGGCCATACAAATGGAGACTTTCCTTTCCCCAATGGCCAACAGCATCACCACCAAGAAACTCTTGTCAGTATGGAGTATAGGCCTTCCATCAACAACTCTCTGCCGATGTGAGGAGTTTTCCAGCAGAAGGATGCATGCTCCTGCCCTGAGACTTTGCAGGTTCATAGTTAAAAGTCCGTGTGGATGCTCTTCCTTTTCAAAGGCCATGAAATGAATAAGCATTCACTTTGTGGCAGTCCTGACACCCAGAGGAGGACTGGAAAAAGGAAGGGAGAACCAGCCACTGCCAGTTGAGTAGAACCTGACAGTGATACAACACTCCTTATAACTTGACCCTTTATTTGAATACCTTATTTTGGGGGCACCTGAGTGGCTCAGTCAGTTAAGCGTCTGACTTCGGCTCAGGTCATGATCTCACAGCTTGAAGGCTCGTGAATTCAAGCCCCGCATCAGACCCTGTGCTGACAGCTCAGACCCCGGAGCCTGCTTCCAATTCCGTGTCTCCCTCTCTCTCTCTGCCCCTCCCCTGCTCACACTGTCTCTCTCTCTCTCTCTCTCTCTCAAAAATAAACATTCAAAAAAATTTTTGAATACCTTATATTTTTATGAGGAATAGTTCATCATCAATAATTACTTATATCTTTAATTTTTATTTATTTTTTAGTGAGTGAATGTGAACAGGGCGGAAGTGGGAGAGGTGTAGGGAGAGAGAGAACCTTAAGCAGGCTGCACACCTAGAGCAGAGCCCAACACAGAGCTTGATCTCACCACCCTGAGATCATGACCTGAGCCTAAATCAAGAGTTGGATGCTTAGCTGACTGAGCCACCCAGGTGTCCCTACTTCTATCTTTTAAATGGCAAAAAAAACCCCAGGGGCATCTGGGTGGCTCAGTCAGTTAAGCACCCAGATTTTGATTTTTTCAGCTCAGGTCACGACCTCATGGTTCGTGAGATCAGGCCCCGCATTGGGTTCTGCTCTGACAGGACAGAATTTGCTTGGGATTCTCTCTCTCACTCTTTCTCTTTGCCCCTCTCTTGCTCACATTCTCTCTCTCTCTCAAAATAAAAAAATAAACTTTAAAAAAACATTCAAGTGGTAAAAAAACCCCCACATAATCTTGATATTAACTAGAAGCAGCTTCTGTTACCATATGAATATAGCAGGATAGCACACCTTCAGTTCAACACATATTAAACACTTGCTACATGTAGAGCATTGTGCGAGGTGCTGGAGAAATAAAAATGGCTTAGATATGATCTCTGCTCTCAAAAACCTCAGGACCCTCCAGAGAAAAGACATACACACACACACACACACACACACACACACACACACAACTAGTTAAAACAGAACAAATTAAACCAGATGCAGAAATCTATTTTTGCATAAATATTTTATTATTGATATTCAGTATCAATCATCCACAAAAAAGCCACAGAAGTCTATCATGGAATGTAGAGACTAATGTTACGAGGACGCCGATGTTTGTCTTCTAGTATAATGTGTTTGCCTTCTAGTATAATGTTTGCTTTTCAGGAATCACAGAGAAAATGATGCGGCTCTCCATAACGATACAGGAAAAGCAGCTATTCCAAATGAAAATATGAGAGTCAGAATATTTCATCCTGAGATGGTGGAGAGATGAGACGATCGGTTGGTTGTAAGAGAAGGGAGTTCCACCTGTTTCTACTCACCCTTCTTAAGGAGCTGTGTGCAGAAGAACCAGAGCTGAGTGCAGCAGGGATATTTGGTGTAACACAACGTCCACCTCTGAATACAATGCCAGGGAACATCTCCTAGAGGCCCTAGCAACTCCCACAATTCCCAGTGCCTTTACTTTCCATTTCAGCTTAACTGTGGATATTTATCACTTCCTCTCCCTTGCCGTGAAACTGACACTGTGAGGTCTTTCAGGGGCATATGCTGAATGTGGGAATGCAGCTTCTTTTCAGGAAAAAGACCAATTTTATCCCAAATCTTTCTTACATATAATGAACTATACTAAAAATGAGCAGACTCCCTTTCAAATAAAAATGTTTATTGATGGGGTCCCCAGGTGGCTCAGTTGGTTAAGCATCCGACTTCTGCTCAGGTCATAGTCTTGTGGTCCATGAGGTCCATGAGTTCGAGCCCCGCATCCAGCTCAGAGCCTGGAGCCTACTTTGGATTCTGTGTCTCCCTCTCTTTGCTCCCCTCCCCTACTCATGCTCTGTATCTCTCTCTTTCAAAAATAAATAATCATTAAAAGTTTTTAAAGTGTTTATTGATAAAACGTAATAAACATACAAGCTTGTCTTTGAAAGATCATCTCTTTGGACTCTACAGTGTTTCTGTAACTTTTACAAATATGTCTGGGGCTCTACATTGGTGTTTATGGTTTATAGACTGGAAAAAAGACTCCAAAAATATGCACATAAGTCACATATGTCCCAAAGCTCAACCTACTTATATGTAAATCTGGACATGTAGAATAAAACCATTATAAATTGACAAAAGTGGAGAGGAAAAAGGTTTAGCCATGACCATGATTGAATTTTTCTAATGAGAAGTTTCATTTGTATTTTTAAAATAGCCAGACATCTGAAAGAACAAGAAAATGATATCATGAAATAGAAAGTGAAGACCCTTCAAGCAACACAATGACCCAAAGAGCAACATATTTCAACAAAGACTCTTTTTCTTTCTAATCAGAGATATTAGGAAAGGAGTGCATGTAATTATGAAATATTCTCCAAATAGAAGCTAAGCTTCTCTCACAAAGTTGAACAATTCCTATCACATTACAATACTACCAACTTGGTGTTTTCTCCATTTCCTGCCCTGAACCATTCCATGCTTACCTGACACTATTTATTTAATATTTTCTCTGATAGTATCTGTGAGTTAGAGATCAGCATCTGCAATTTATAAATGAAGAAACTAAGGCCCACAGCCAACTTGCATGCAATTCTTCTCATACTAAAGCAGCTATTAATGTGATATTAATAACTATTCTCTATTTTAGTGTTTAATAGCCTAGGGCCCAAGTGTGAATATTAGTCAAGGGAACCCTCCCGTAACATCTTTCTGTTCATTCTATTTTATTTTCTCATTTCATCGTAGGAGATTTCAAGCGCGTATGCCACATAGTAAACTGCATCTTCCATTTAGAATAACAATCATTATTTTTAAAAAGTCATCACATTTAAAGGAACGAATAATCAAATGCTTTCCCATGAACAATAAAGTGCAGCAATAGTATGCATGCTTCCTCACAATTTCATCCCTAGCTACTGGAAGAATGGGAGTAGATTTTAATCATGATTCAGTTCCCTTTATTATTCAGCCAAACAAAAAGCTAACAGACTAGAAATCACATTGTATTTTTTTGGAATGCACCATACTTGTTTTTTTTTTCCCAATGGTAAATATTTACTTGATAGGAATGCTAAAGTAATAAGAATAGGGGCTCATGGGGGTTCCTTTGGTTAAGTGATCAACTCTTGATTTCAGCTCAGTTCATGATCTCACAGTCATGAAATTGAGCCCTAAGTCAGGCTCCACACTGAATGTGAGCCTGCTTGAGATTCTCGGTCTCCTTCTCCCTTTTCCCCTTCCCTGCTTGCTAGTGCACATGCACTCTCTCTCTCTTTCTCACTCTCTCTCTCAAAGAAAAAAAAAGGAACAATAAAACACAAATTTTAAGCACAAATAAATTTCCAGTTTTTTTTCCCATGAAGAAAATGCCATCTTTACAATATTTTACCTTTTTTTCCTCCAGATGAGGAAGTTCAAGCTCAAATATAGGTTTATTACTTTTTTCCAAGAAGACAATTTTAAAAAATTTTCTTTCTATTAAATCCAACTGCACAATTTGACATGCTGTTTTTAAGTTTATTTACTTATTTTGAGAGAAGAGGGGACGGGTGAGTGAGAGAGGGAGAGAGAGAAAATCCAAGCAGACAGCTCAAAGCTTGACTCCAGGCTCCATCTCATGAACTGTGAGATCAAGAAATGAGCTGAAATCAAGAGTTAGATTGACTCTAACTCTAGTCAGTTAGACTGACTGAGCCACTCAGGTGCCCCACCGTATTTCTTTTTATATGATTTCTACATAACTAGCTATATGACCTGGTATTCAAAAAAGATAGGTAAAAGTTTGTGGTCTTCCACTCTATTTACTAATCCTATTAAGAGTGATAAGTGGCTCCGTCAGTTAAGCTTCTGACTTCGGCTGGGGTCATGATATTGCAGTTCGTGAGTTCACGCCCCGCGCTGAGCTCTGTGCTGACAGCTCAGAGCCTGCAGCTGCTTCAGATTCTGTGTCTCCTTCTCTCTCTGTCCCTCCCCTACTCATACTTTTTCTCTCTCTCTCAGAAATAAATGATAATAAAACATTTTTAAAAAAGAGTGGTAATTCTAGGGGCACCTAGGTTGTTCAGTTGGTAGAGCAGGTGACTCTTAATCTTGGTGAGTTCAAGCCCCAAGTTGGACATACAGATTACTTTAAATAAATTTTAAAAAAGGAGTGATCATTCTATTTTAATATATCTCCTTCCAGAAAACTATGCTTATAAAATTACAAACTGTCATTTCTTTTTAAAACCAGACAATGAAATACATGAATCAAATCCAAATACTAACAGTGATGAGTATCATCAAAATGGAACGCATATTTCAATGAGGAAATCAAATTATTTTTCAAATAAATACTTTCAAAATCTCTTTATGACTGAGTTGTTACAATTGGACAGATCCTGAGAATAAAGGGATAACTTACCTGTGTTCAGAGGAAACATTCAGCCTTTGAGGTTATTGGGAAAGGAGTTTTTCTGTTCTTCATAATCTGCAAATGCAGAAGCAAGAAGTTCTGATTGGAAAGAAAGAGGTCTAGGATCCTCATTCATGGAGAAAGTGTTCGGAAAGCTCCCAACATCAAGACCTCTTCCCTTAAGATATGCCTGAAGGGTTCTGAAAAACTGAAGCGAGAAAGAAAGTGTTCAATGTGATATGTAAATTAAATATAAAAAATACTCAGAGACAGATACTTTCCCCCTCTTTTTTCCTCCATGAATTGACTTTAGGGCTAATCTATGAGGCAGAAGTTAGAAAATCCAGAAATACAAATACAAACTTTGGCTACTTCTTTTCCTTCCCCTCCACTGTCCTTTACCCTGCCTTCTTTGTGACATTTCAACCCTAAACAAGATAATTCAACATTCCTGGTGGAGATTGAGAGAAGAGCATCAATTATTTAATAGCATCACGGTCAGTGGGCTCATTGTAAACAACCTCTGAACCACTTAGGCCGGAGATTAAACTGAACTTCACAGTGGTCAAGTTCTGCACGTCCTCTCTGAAGGTGAGATCCTAGCCATTGTCTGCTGCCCTGATTCTTTCAGGCATGGGTTTTTCAGCTTTCCTTTACAAAATGGATACACAGAAACTTGCAAAGGGCTGCTTGGTTGTTTTAACACGATATTGTTATATTTCACATCATTTTCTGTAGGGAAACTGTATTTTGAAACAGTAATGTCAGCATGTTTATTGTACTTGGCATATATTTAAAAGAGAATTTTTACTGATGTTTTGAATTCTATTTCCTAGATAAATTTATGTTGGAAATAATGCTTGAGGAGCAACTGGCTGACTCAATTGGTGGAGCACACAACTCTGGGTTTCAGGGATGTGGGATTCAGCCTCACATTGGGTGTAGCGATTACTTAAAAGTAAATCTTAAAAAAAAAAGGAAGAGAAAAGAATGTTTGGTAAATTGATAAGCTCAGTTTTTATAACTGAGCTTCACATGGGTTGGTCATATGAGAATTGGTTTTATTATCAGTTCAATCTGAGCTATGCAAAAATCAATTCCCCACCATGCTCTTGATTTTGTATATGTATGAGAAATCCAGGCTATAAAGTCAACGTGTACGTAAGATCATTTACAACTGTTATGTGTTGTGTGTACATAAAATCATTTCTAAATATAAATTTGTTTCTCCTTACAGAACAGATATAAATTGGCCAGAAGAACAATAGGATACCAGCCACGAGACTAGCGAAGCCCTTGACCACATTTCTTGGCAGGAATCTCCTTGGCACTTGGTAGCCTCCTCACCACTGTGCTCTAGCAGAGTGCAGTGTGCATAACCCCAGAGATGTGCCAATTTCACCCTGCAGCCCAGCAAGCCCCAGTGTATGCTCTTACCAGCTCTCGGTTTCGGGGGTTGTTGAGCGACTTCCATTTCTCTTCGTTTCTCGCTGTGGCTCCATGGACAGGCCCAAGTAGCACTAGGGCAACACACAGCAGCAGGAGTGCTGTGGGCATGGTGGAATGAAGCTCAGGGGAAGGGAGGATCAGGGAGATGTCAATGGTCTGAGAGAGAAGAGAGAAAGAAAGAAGCAGCAGGAGTTAGAAGGGGAGGAAGAAGATGAAGGAAGGGGGAGGAGAAGAGAAGGGAAGGCAAAAGTAAAAAGAGAAGAGGAAACATTTTTAAAGAGAGACAAGGAGAAAGAAATAGTATATTGGTTCACCTGAATTTTGCAGCCCCTTTTTCCTCACGTTCGTTTGCAAGTGAAGCCCCCCAAGTCCAGGTGATTAGCTTAAAGGAGTCTGATGATGAGAATATTATACAGTGATGAGCAAAGCAATTATGAATAAAACCCAGAAGGTCTGAGTATGACTTTTCATCTTTGAAAACAATGCACTTTGTTGTCTCCAAAGAAAGTGCGATCCTTAAAACAAAAAACAAAAAAAAACAGTATGTGTATGTGTTAAGACAGCAGTCTTCAATAAACAAAGGACGTGGAAGAGGAGGCAAAAAAAGAAAAGACATACCAAAAAATGAGAAATGCACCTTATACACACATCTGCGACACACACCACATCAGCCTAAGTATGGATTGTCTCTCACTCCAAGATGTGATATGGAAATGAAATAACACAGAAAGGGCTAGGAAAGCTTACCAGGAGTTTGGCTCTAGCTGGTCCTGGTTGGCTACCTTGCTCACAATCTGCAAGACCATTTATGGCTACTTATAACCAATGGGCCGGCTGCAGGTGGGAGTCAATGACGTGAGCAGGGGAAGTTGAAAAATAATGATTCCATTTTCATCCAAGGCACCAAACACCCTTGAGAATCACATCTTCAAGCTCCTTCAGGGGTGACAGTGAACTTATTTGTCTTATAAATATAGCAGCCTCTCCTCTAACTACTGACCATTTTATGTGGATTTTATAAAACATGCAAAGTACTTGTACATAGCAAAGTGGCTTTTTACTTTTTCACTTTTAAGAGAAAGGTATACACAGCAGCTGGCAATATGATGATGATTACCCATCTAATAGAATGCTCTTTTGGAGATATCAGCTTTTCAAATTAAGATCATTTTTTGAACAGGAAATCCTATTGCAAGAGATAAAACTGTTTTTTGTGACCTACGCCTTATGTTTCTTCTTGGAATCTTAAAAAAAGCTTTACAAGTTTTAAATAGCAGCATGGCTTATCATAAAAAAAAAAACCTTCAAAATACAGTAAAAAGATATCATGTATTTCTTGGAAAAATATTGCTATACCTATCGTATCTCCTTGCTGCATTAATGCTGTCCTTAGAAAACAGTAGGATTGAGAAACTGGACTTGAGTTGTGAAGTTGCTTTGGTTGCAATAATTCACAATAGAGGACAAGGTCATTGTGAGAAGGCTAGAAGCATGGACTAAAATTTAGAATACCTGGCTAGAGTGTGTCTTGCCATACTGACCTTGGGCAAGTCACTAATGACCTTCATTTATTCATTCTTTTATTCATTAATTCAGATAGCTTTTATTGAGTGCCTACTATGTGCCAGGCATTCCAATAGTCTTTTTTTAATGTAATGACTTTGTTTATTTTAAAAAGTTTTGGGGCACCTGGGTGGCTCAGTCGGTTAAGCATCCAACTTTAGCTCGGGTCTATGCTGACAGCTCAGAGCCTGGAGCCTGCTTTGGATTCTGTGTCTCCTTCTCCCTCTGCCCCTCCCCCCTCTCAAAAATGAATAAATGTTAGAAAAATTAAAAATTTTTTAAATTAAGGTATAGTTGACATACAACATTATATTGGTTGCAGGTGTATCACACAGTGATTTGACAAGTACATACATTATGAAATGCTCACCACGATGAGCGTGGTCACCATCTGTTCCAGTAGGCTTTGAGGATAAAATGGTAAGAATAATGAATATAGGCTCTGCCTTTACTAAACTAATACGTTAGTGGGCAAGACAGAGAATAATCAAATTTTTAAACAACAAAATGTTTAAACTCAAATGATGATAATATCTATGAAGAGAAACTGAGTGCCGTGAGAGTGTAGAAGAGGGGGATGTGATTCAGTCTCAGGGGTCAGGGAAGGCTTCAGTGAAGAAGGGACCTTACATCTAGTAGGTGAGTAGAAGTTATCTAGGCAACCTGGGGAGGACAGAGGCAGAAGAGTTTCAAATAAGACCCTGGCTGAAAGCAACATGGCACACTGGAGCAACTGAAGATGAATTAGTATGCCAGGGAGAGAGGAGGACTGTGTTGCGAGATGGGGCTGGATCATGATCTTTCTGCCACAAGCAATGCTGATTGAAGGGTTTTAAGTATCTAAACAGCTTGCTCAGATTTTCAGTTTTAAAAGATTTTCCTGATTGTAGTGAGGAGGACAGATAGAGCTAGACAAGAAGGATGTGAGAGACCAGTTGGGTGCCTACTGCTGTAATCCAGGCAGGAAGATGTTAAATTGGATTAGGATAGTATCACAGATACAGAGATGTGGCTGGATCTGAGAGATGTTTTTAGAAGGTACTGGCAATGTACTGAATACTATGGAAGGCAGAGCTCAGGGGAAGAGAATTTCCAGAACAATCAGGGTTGTGTAGCTGAATGGATGCCAGGGCCATTCACTGAGATATCAAACACTGTCATAGAGGGACAAAGATTATGAGTTCTGTTCGGGGCAATAATATTGTGTTTGAAGAGACTTTAAGATCTCCAAGGGGTGGAGTGGCACCTGGGTGGCTCAGTCAGCTAAGTGTCCGGTTCTTTTTATCTATTTAATTATTTTGAGAGTATGCATGCACCTGTGCACACACACACAAGTGTGAGCTCGGGAGGGGAAAGGAGGAAGGAAAGAGAGAATCTCAGGCAAGCTCCACACCCAGCTTGGAGTCGATAGAGGTGCTCGAGCTCATGACCATGACATCATGACCCAAACTGAAATCAAAAGTCATAGTCTTGATTAACTGATTTAGCCATCCAGGCACAGCAAGCATCCCAGTCCTGATCTCAGCTCAGGTCTTTTTTTTTTTTTTTAATTAAAAAAAATTTTTTTAATGTTTTTTATTTATTTCTGAGACAGAGAGAGACAGCGTGAGCAGGGAAGTGTCAGACAGAGAGGGAGATAAAGAATCTGAAACAGTCTCCAGGCTCTGAGTTAGCTGTCAGCACAGAGCCCAATGTGGGGCTCGAACCCACCAAACGTGAGATCATGACCTGAGCTGAAGTTGGACGCTTAATCTATGGAGTTACCCAGGTGCCCCTCAGCTCAGGTCTTACTCTCAGGTCACATTGGGCTCTGAGCTGGGCATGAAGCCTACTTAAAAAAAAAAATCTCCAAGGGGTGGAGGGTGGAAAATACACTGTTGGATACATAGGTCTGCAGCTCAGAGGGGAGGTCTGGGTAAAAAATGTAAATGTGGGAATTGTTACCATGTAGGTTGGATGAGATTACCACAGTAAAATTTAGAAAATTAGCGCCTGGGGAGCTCAGTTAGTGATAAACCAGTTTCGGCTCAGGTCATGATCTCCTGGTCACGTGGGTTCAAGTCCCACATTGGGCTCTGTGCTGACAGCTCAGAGCTTGGAGGCTGCTTCAGATTCTGTGTCTCCCTCTCTCTCTGCCCCTCACCCACTTGCTCTCTGTCTATCCCTCTCTCAAAAATAAATAAACATAAAATAATTTAAAAATTAGAAAATGAGAAGAAAAGGTGACCTAGGACTTGAGCTTTGAGAAATTTTTACACCTAACAGTCCTATGCAGGAATCTACACAAAGAAGACCCTGGAGATAGAGGGGAAACCAGGATGGTATTGAAACAAGAGAGGAAAATTTTTTTAAGAAAGGACACATTGGGCAAAATGAAGACTGAGAAGGGTCCAGGGAACATTAGTGCTGTTTTGGTAGATGCAGGCAAAAGATTAGGAGCGAGCGTATGAAGAGGAGAGATGATGGTACCTCAAGCGCTTGAGAAGTTTAGTTGTGAGAGAGAAGGAAGAAAAAGGCAGTAACTGGAGAGGGAAGGGGAATGCAGTGAAAGGAAAACGTCAAGTTTTGAGGGTGAGAGACTTGAATTTGTTTAAACACCAGTGGCTAAGTGAGAAAATGAATATCCTGGAATTCCATTGCATCGTCCCTCCTTAAAATTCCAGGACTTTGAACTTAAAGCACCTAATGATACTGAAGTATTAAATTGTTAATGAGATTATAGTAAAGTCACTACATTGTAAACTCCTTAAGACAGTGCTCACTCTTATATTCCCAATGCTGAGCACATTGGCCCAATACTTAGATGATACACTTTTTAAATTTAGAAAGATTGAATAAGTTGGACTTTCATACTCATTTATCTGTAAATATTTTTAAAAATTTTTTTTAATGTTTTATTTATTTCTAGGAGAGAGAGAGAGACAGCGTGAGCAGGGGAGGGTCAGAGAGAGAGGGAGTCACAGACTGAAACAGGCTCCAGGCTCTGAGCTGGCAGTGAGCACAGAGCCCGAAGCGGGGCTCGAACCCATGAACCGCGAGATCATGACCTAAGCGATGACCTAAGCGAAAGTCGGACGCTTAACCGACTAAGCCACCCAGGCTCCCCATATCTGTAAATATTTTTAAACTTTATCCCCATCTGTATAAAAACACAGCTAATTTCTCCCCTTAAGAGCTCCTATTTAAGAAATATTTATAGGCTTACCTCAGAGATATTATGGTTAGATATTATATTATGTTCCAAACCATGACAATAAAGTGAATACCACCAGAAAGTGAGTCAAGTGAATTCATTGATTTCTCAGTGCATATAAAAATTATGTTTACACTATGCTATAGTATATTAAGTGTGCAAGATCATTATGTCTAAAAAACCAATGTACATACCTTAATTTAAAAATGCTTTACTGCTAAAAAACAACAAAAACAACAACTAACCATCATCTGAGCTTTCAGTGAGTCATAATGTTTTTGCTGTTGGAAGGTCTTTCCCTGACAACAATGGCTGCTGATCAATCTGGGTGGTGGTTGCTGAAGGCTGGGTGGCTGTG